CTACCCTGATTCTATCATGAAGCAACCAAATTAATCCAAATCCTGGAACCTGGACCCTTCAAAACTACCAATGTCATGAGAGAGGGAAAAAGGGCAGGTTAGGGTTCTAGATTAAAGAAAATTAAAGAGACATGGCAATCACAGGCAATGTGCGAGCCTTCTCTAGCTCCTAGTTTTCAAAAAATAAATAGGTGTGTGTGTATACACACACACACACACACACACACACACACACAATGCACATTTTTTAGACAAGTGGGAAATTTGAATTAGGTTACTGTATCAATCTTTGGAAATAATAATGATACTGTCATTACCTAGAATGTCCTTTTTAAGAGACACACGCTGAAGTATTCAGGGGTGACAAGTCAGGGTGTCTGCTACTTACACTTTAGCAAAAAAAGGGGACTGTGATATTAAAGGGGCTGGGGGATGCCAGACAGACCCGGATCCCATTCTAACTTCCGTGCTATGGAGGTGATACACTGGGCAGGTCTCCCCTCCTCCCCCCTCCCCGGAAACACGGCAGACTCCCAGCATTGACTCTGGCATCCTGTGTTGCACAAAGAGCTGCGTGTACAGCGCCCTTTTCCAGTTTCAAGCATTTTCTGTGCATTGTGGCATTTTAATCGGCCACAACCCTATGCTGCAATCACTAAATGATCCATCCATGTCCTTCCACCCTGACGACTGGGCACTTTCCGCTGGAGGAAACCACAAACTTGACTTGATGTGCCCCTGACTGCTAACCACTTTTTGCAGAAGTAAAACAAATCTATTCTAGCTACAGCCCATGATTGCAAAGTACAGTTAACTCATCAGTCCAGGCAAGAAAGACTTATTCCAGCTAAATAGCTTCTGCTTGATGAAAAGCTATTTCAAAACCGTTTCTTGATCTGTTCGGCTGAGAGGAAACCATGTGTGTTATCTCAGTTCTATCACTGGACTGGTTTCCAGGACACCCCCCTCCGCCCCCTGGCCCACTCACCAATGAGGTTAATGGGCAGACTGAGCTTGGCAGCGGACACGATGGCTGAGCAGATGGTGGCAGCTCCTCCCATGTCAGCCCTCATGAGGTCCATATTGGCAGAAGGCTTGATGGAGATGCCACCACTATGGGGGAAAAGGACAACGTGCGATGTTAACACAAAGAAGAGGGCCACTGTCTTAAAAAAGAGTACATACACCGAGGGTTAGCTTCCACACAAAGGCACCATCTGCCTGGCAGAGAAAATTCAAATTTCTAATCGAGAATCTGAATGACTGCAACATTTTAAAAGATGATATTGCAGCCTTTACAAAACTACAGAGGGGTCTTAGCTCATTTTGTTTCTATTTGAATTAAATTTAAATGGTGCCCCTAAAACACTACGTCGTGTAATCAACGCAACTCAAATTCCACCTCAGTATTGGCTCATTAACTCCTGGCCCCACATAGATTTGTCTCTTCAGCAAATTTTATGACTCAAATCAACTCACTGGTCCTGAAAGTCACCATTAAGGAGAGCCAACAAGCTCATAGCAGACTGGGAGGATCTTACCCCACAGAAGGATGGGGAGAACAATTCCCTCCAACACCCCAAGGTGTGCTAGGTCCTGCTGATGGCAAAATGCAACTGGAACCAGGACCAGCAAAGGAAGGTGCTGACCCAAAGCCTCGAGGACAGCGCTCACACATGAGAGCTGACAAGGGTTTCAATCAGCAAGAAACCGAAACCACTCCCCAAATAGGCCTCTATAACTGACTAGTGACTTTCTGCTTTGGATGTATGAACTCAGAAAGCACTTGCTTTTTTGCACGCTGGGCAGAGTTGGGGTTTCGACTTCGAGTTCTGGGATCTGCTGCCGACTTGCCCTGGTGACTCTGGACAGTCTATTCCCTGCACGGAGGTCTCTTTCCTAACAAATCAGGTCCTAATTCTCACTCACCGCAGAAGCACTCGACAGGTAGCTGTCACTTACACCTAGAATTAATGATTACCCACTGACTCAGAATAAGAACACATTCTTGGTCCAAGAAGTCCAGGGATAGCCCCCTGGGGCAAAGGGAGCACGCTGGTTCATCAGGTGTCCTACCTACACGCCACTTTTTTCTCAAGGCCACTTCTGTTCTGGGAGTTCCACTCTCTATTTGTAGGACTCTCATTCTAAAGTAACCAGTCAGCCCGGCCAGTGTGGCTCAGTGGCTGAGCATCAACCTATGAGAACCAGGAGGTCATGGTTCGATTCCCAGCCCAGGGTTGCAGGCTCAATCCCCAGTAGTGGGTGTGCAAGAGGCAGCCAATCAATGATTCTCTCTCATCATTGATGTTTCTATCTCTCTCCCTCTCCTTTCCTCTCTGAAATCAATAAAAATATTTTTAAAAAATGAAAAAATAAAGTAACCAAAGAGCAGCAGTTATCTTTGCTCATCTTCTAGATCTCTCTGGAATGCATCCACTTCTTTTCTACTGCATCCACCCTAGTTGAGGCTACCACTGTCTGTCATTCAGATGTGTGTCATGGCCCTACATACTCAGGTCTCCTTATATCAGTCTTATCCTCTCATTTCATTACCCATACAACTACCAAATTTTTATTTTAAAAAAAGTCTATCTCAATGAAAATCCCAGCAGATGTGTATAAGAAAATGGTAGATTCTAAAACTGATATGCAAATTGCCAAGGACACAGCCAGCGTCATTTTGAAATAGCTGAGCAAAGCTGGAGGACTCAATTACTAGACTCAGGACAGGGCAGCATTAATCAAGATACTTGGTCACAAGGTCCTGATGGAAGGACACAGAACAGAGATAGACCAACCATTATATGGTCAATTGATTCAACAATGGTACTGGCAGAGTTCAATGGGGAAAGGATAATCTTTTCAACAAATGGTGTTAAAACAAATGAATATCCATGTAGAAAGAAAAAAGGGGGAAAAGAGCCTCAATGCATTCACACCATACACAAAAAATCAAAATGGATCATAGCCTAAAAGCTAAAACCATAAGACTTACAGAAAAACACACACAGACTTTGGCAATCATTTCTTGAATGTAAAAAGAAGCAGGAACTATAACTGAAAATGGATAAAACTGAAAATGAAAATGGATAAAACTGAAAATGGATAAATTACACTTCATCAAAATTTAAAACTGCTCTTTAAAAGATGCCACTTAGAAAACGAATAGGCATGCCTCAGAATAGGAAAACTGTATTTTCAATACGTATATATCTGAAAAAGAACTTGCATCTAGAATACACTTATTAAAAAACGTTTCTAAGAAGAGCAAAAGATTTGACAGACACTGCACTAAGGACACACCAATGACCAATAAGCACATTTCTTACCTGTAGAAGGTCCACAGTGCCTACTTTCTAGGGGTAAGGTCAGGGCTAATCTATGTAAAATGCCTCACAGTCTCTGATACACAGTAAACATTTTATAAATGGCAACTTAACACATTCAAAGTGAACATATATGAAAAAAATAAAAATAAAAAAACAAAAAACAAAGTGAACATATACGAGATGACCAAACACTATGCTTTGGAAGCGAACCAACCATACATCAAATAATACAAGTGCATGCAAAGCATTCACCAAAACACAAAGCACAGATACCGTAAAGACCTACCTATCGAAGGTAATTCCCTTCCCAACAAACACCAGAGGCGCGTCACTTGCATTGGGGCTGCCTCTGTAGTGAATTTCCAGGAAGACTGGAGGCTCATCGGACCCTTTGGCCACACTTAGGAATGATCCCATTTCCTGTTCCTCAATCCAAGACTTGGGTCTACAGGGTAGAAAGGGGAAAAGGTAAATACACTTTGTTGTCTCTATTTCAAAATAACTCAGAAAAAGCTCATCCATGTTTAACAAAGTCTAATGTACAAGCTGTTAAAATATGCATACATCAGTGCTTCGATTAACATGTTCTAGTTGCTCTCATTTTTGGGCAAATTACTTGTTTGAGTCTGTTTCCTCATCTATAAAATTAGGTCAATTACACCTCCCTCAAAAGATCAGCTACAGAATTACTACGAGAATTCATCCCTGGTACATAATATGTCAGATAATAATGCATAGTCAATAAATAATTACTTGGTTCCCCCCCGCCCCCTAACCTACTCACATATTTTTAAAGTTTTAGTGTACAGATAAGGCTGAGACCATAAAGGGTACTTAAAGATAGTTAGGGGTCCATTGCTTTACTTTTTGGTATTTCTAAAAAAAGACAAAAACAATCAACCAACAACAACAAAAAACACAGCAAAGTTATACTTTACTGTTTCTGTTTATATAAATATATCCTCTTTCTTTGTGTTTTTACAGTTGCTGGAATCCAGTCTTTTCCATGCTGTCACACTATTTCTCAGGTTTCAATCCCAGTTCCAGATGTCTGACTGCAGTAGAGAAACTAATGACTTATTACTTCACAAGCACAGGACCAACAGGGGTAACAGAATGGGAACAGTCCTGCGTGCCAATCAGACCGCAGAGGCCGCAGCGCTATTCTTCTGGGCTGGGGTACAAAAGGGCTCTGTATGCCTCTACCCACTGTAACTAGGCCGGGAGAAACCCTACACTCCTTCAGGCCAACCAGCAGCAGCCATATCCAAGGAATGCTTCTCTAGACTGCTTATCTACTCGTTGAAACTATTAAAGTAGGACTGCATTATGGAGAGGTGGCCACCGAATTTCAGAGGGAAAAGAATAAAAAATGGCCCAGCGAGTGTGGCTCCGTGGTTGAGTGTTGACCTATGAACCAGGAGGTCAGGGTTCGATTCCCAGTCAGGGCACATACCCAGGTTTTGGGCTCAATCCCCAGTATGGGGCATGCAGGAGGCAGCCAATCAATGATTCTCTCTCATCATTGATGTTTCTATCTCTCCCTCTTTCTTCCGCTCTGAAATCAATAAAAATATACTAAATATATATATATATATATATATATATATATATATATATATATATATAAAAATGGGAGGTATGGCAATAAAAAAATCACTTCAAAGGAAGCAAGTCTACATGTATCATGTGGGGATTTTTAATCACAAACTCAGCCCTGGATGTTTTATGAAAGGGCTGCCCTCCTGGAAGCACTGTACTTCCTTGGTTTGTACACGCCTACACCCGAGTGGGTCTGGTGCAGTGTCTAGTTTAATGGGTTAGACTATGCCCACCTGTCCCTCCCTGGTTCTGGCCGGCTGCCCTTTGCTCCGCCACAAGCCTTGTGGTTTCCCAAGGGGGTCTCTGCACCCCTGCTCCTCCTGGCTGTAGCTTCCCGTGAGTCTGAGACATCATCCTGAATTACCTGATGTGGACTTCTGTCTTACTACTAGCACTTTTGAGATTCTTCTCGATGATTTCGGCAAATTTGGTTGGTGTCATCTCATTGGCAGGAGACTCCATCAACTGGCGTGCCAGGTTCTGCCCGGAAGCAAAGAGGACCCCTCTCTGCCAGGCCTCCAGGTCACCGCTGGCGGAAGGAAGAACAGGGTCACTGTCCGACAACCTCTAGAGACACTGACATGTCGCAGGTTGTAAAAACAACAGGAAGCCCGGGGGACTGGGTTCACTGTCCGGGGTCTGACCTAGGGTGGCCGATGGGGGGTGCAAAGAGCTAGAAAACATGGCCCCCACTGTGCGAGCATGTCACCCCAGAATCCTCATCAGCATAAAAAAAGGGGTTGGACTGATGGGTCTGGAGGCCCCGATCCCCCACTCAAGGTGATGACGGAGGTTTCCACAGCAAGGCCATGCTGTCCCCTCTCTGCATCAGGAGTGACGCCGCTCTGAGTGCTAACTGTAGAGGACGTACCGCTCAATGCTGATGGGAACGGAAGGCCTTTCTGCCTAATTTTTGCCTGGGAAGGGCTCCGAATGCCAACCCACCAGAGGGCAAGAATCAGCTTTAACAGAGAGAAGATGTGGCCATGTTCCGACCCCAGCTCTTCCTGTGCACAGTAGGAATTCATGTGAGCAGCGAGGCTAGAACAAGAGCTCGTTTGGGTTTACTCGCCAGCTGCGCCTTTCGATCGTCATGAGCCCTATGAAATCAGAATCACGATGCCACTCAGCAAATAAAAACGGAGCACCGAGAGACTGTGGGCCCGTAACTGAGGTGCCAGCCAGTAAGTGAGGGAGCCACGCTGATGGGTCGCAGAACCCTCCCTCTTAACCGCGACAGCATAGCTGCCAACCACCAGGCTGTGCCAAGATCCCCCACTCCACAGCACCATCTCCTGAAGGGCTCACATGGTCTGATCCTGACAGCAGGGACCTTGTTCCCCAAAACCCAGAACAGAGCTGGAAGGTGGTAGGTTCTCAATAAATCTGCTGAGAGGTGAGTTTTTCCGGGAGACCACGAGGGCCAGGACTGCATCCCATCATCTGTGTAGCTCTGGTGGTTAGCACAGTGCCAGCAGGTGCTGGTGAAATGGGAACTGTCTGGGTTGAAACCCACTGGGACCTGGTCTCTTGTTCCCTCCTCTTTGGGGAGCCAACCTGGTGTGGTTTCCTAGTAATCAGCAAGCATGGAGGGGCCCAGGGAGTGATGGGGGGACACGCACATGACGAAAGCCAGGAGCAGAACGTGGGGACAGGCACCATACTCTTAAAATGGCCAAGGTGACGGCGGAGATGGCAGACAGGCCATGCAGCAGTGCCTGATACTGAAAGGCAGGCAGCTCATGTCCAGGAGGCCCGGCTGTCAGAGCACCAGGAATGCAACCCCAATCTTGGTTCGTTCCCTCACCTTCCATGCAGCTTCGCCGATATGGCCACCTTCTTCTTCTGCTTCAGGTTATCGTACTCATAGAGACCGAGCACTGCTCCTTCCGCAGCCGCCTGGGCATCACCGCAGGGATCCACCTCCACGGAAGAGATCTCCAGGTCTTGAACCTGCCTGCACCCCGCTTCGTAAGGACAGAGGAACCAGAAAATCGGAGTCAGTCAGAGACAACGTGAATAGCAGAGGCATGGTGCAGTGTGCCAAGAAAACACCAGGACTGGGCTTCGAATCCCAGCTCTGACACTTGACCTTTGTGAGCCTCCATTGCCTCTGAGATAAAAGGAGGGTGTGCACACACCTTAGAGGTCAGGGAGGACAGGCTGACGGATAAAATGACGGGTCTGGCTCCTCACAGAGCTACTCTGATTACTAACTAGTATTACTTCTGAAACACCAGGATTTCCTGATGAAGCGAAGTGTCCTAGTCACCAGGAACTTGCCAGGTTAAAAATGACAAAGTGATGAGATGGACATTACATCCAAGGGACTGGGCGAAGTCCATTATTAACGCAGCACTTTATTAAGATCAGGTCAGCAAAACTCCCAAATCACAAGGATGACATCACCAGTCACCATGAACTTTGAAAGTACCATTGAACCAAGCATATATGATACCCAGGGGGCCAAAGCCCAATGGAGTTAATTCTCCCCACCCCAGCAATGCTGCTCACAGCTTAACCAGCGTCTGCAGTGAGGGCCTCGGCCTGCCACTCAGCTCCGCAGGGACTCAATGGCACCTACCTCAATGGTAAACCAGCCACACGAGGAGCTGGGGCCTTTGGCAACTAGTGATAAACAAGCACCCCACACTTTGCATCCATTTTCTCTGATTTGTAAATATGATGACTCCGTGTGGCTTAAAGTTGCATTAGAAAAGGGGAAAAAATCAACACACCAGAGCTTTCTACTAGTAAAACAGAATCTCTGAGGTCAATACTGTGGGAATGAACAAATGGCCGTGAAACCTCCAAACACAAGCTAAAGAAACAGAAAAATAAAATTCCACAAGCTACCCGTTTGTGTCTAATATAAGGCCGAGCATGCTGGGTAAGGGAAATTGCGCATCCAGATGAGTTATTTCTCTGTGAACGTGGTAGGGGTGGTGATGGTCAGGGGACCAAAAGAGGGGAGACAGAGTAATCTTAAAGAGTAGATCCTTAGGAATCTCCACCAATATTAAACCTCAAAGGGAAAATCACCTGCAACCGCCACTCTGATGTTTTCTTTGCCTTCGTGCCAGTTCTCCTGGTCATCCACACCAGCGCCCTTTTTGCCGAGGCCAACCACCACCACACTGGAGAAGTCCTGTTCCGGAAACACACGAAATCAGCCACTTTGTATCTTTAAAGCGTTCATTTCCACAGGGAATGGTCTCTGAGGTCAACTACCATAACCTTAGCACATGGCAAAATCAGCGTCAAATTTGGTTGCTGGGTTTTTTGAGTCCTGTACTTTGTTTAAATTTCATAACATGTGTGTTTGAAAAGTAGAGGGTGAGGACAATCCTGCAAATAATTCTACTATGTAAGAGTGCCCCAACTCCCACAAGCGAACAAAAGAAACCTACAGATTAAGCGATACAAGAGAGGCGATACTTTCTGACAGCAAGTCACCTCTATACAGTCTTAAACAATACTTAAGGCTTAATACTGGGACACAATCCGATACAACATTTTCTGCCCGGCCATGCAGTCACAGTCCTTGGCATATAGTAGGTGCTCACTAACGGTTTGCCAAACCTATCTTCATCTCATACCTCATGCAGACCATAAAAAGTTCGGGTTTTGCCTGCTTTCAGCGGAGGTCCAGATCTGAAACAAGAAGAAATAGTTGTTTAAAATATTAGTTTGCTCTGTTCCTTTGAGAAGTGATAAATATACAGTGCCCAGCATGCTTCCGAGAATTTTCAACTGCATACATTTAACATTATTAAAATACTCTGCTACCAAAAAAAAAAATTTAAAATAAAAATAATACTCTGCTGCTTCTGTGAATTTGCTGCACTTACGTTTTTATCAAAATACAGAATTTTCTCGGGCCAGATTTCTCAGATGCAGCACTTCTAATTCTAGCTCAAAAACTACTTAGCATACAGATTATTAGAGTGAACACCAACTTATTTGAAAACAAATACAGAAAGCAATGCCGTGGATGGACAATGCATGGCTGCAGAGGAGAGCGGAATCGTCATTCTTTTTAATAAAGACATCAGCCTCAGGGGTCGAGCTGACGGCAGTGTGTTTGGTGGGAGGTCATTTATGGGGGCAAATCTGCAAATGGGATACCAGGCAATTCCCAAACCAACCAGGTGGCAATGCTGAGAGTTATCGGTCAGGAAGGCCAGGCTGTTCTGCACTCTAACAGGTCAGCTTTGGGATTAATGAATTCATCAAGGCACAGGGGAAGGCTGTCTGCTAGTGGGTGACTGCTAAAAATTAAGTGGGGGTGCGAATTCTGTTATCCGATGATCAGACAATTTCTCTCATTATTAGACTACATGTATTAGATGCAAGAAATTATCTATGATCTGAACAAGATGCACTTGCAGAGGCTTATGCTGACACTTCTATTCCTGCAGCTCGGGACTGGGAAACCCCAGTGTTTCCCCACCTTCTCTAGACGCTGGCGAATCCGAGAGGCCAAAACCTCAGGACCACCCGATTTACTGAATGAGAACCTGCATTCTCGCCGCACCCTCAGGTGACCGGCATGTACTGTAACATTTGAGAAGCCCTAAACTCCAGATAAGCAATGCAGGGTGCAGCCCCCTTAGGCTGCTCTGAACTAGTCCAGCAACCCAGGTCTCCCATAAACAAAGGGGAACTAAAGGAAGAAAGAGAGGCTGTGGGAAGGCGAGCTAGTGGGGAGGATGAGGGTGGGGGGTAGGATGAAGGTGGGGGGTGGACTGAGGAAATTTGGTACTTTCCAGACCCTTCTGGGTCAGTTTTTCACAGTAACTCTGCGATGTGGCTGAAGTGACCTGACTTCCCAGCACTGGAGACCCACCCATACTGAAGCACAAGGAACCAAAGTGCATTCCAGAGGCACCCGCTTTCACTTTCACTGACCTACAGTGCCCAGCATGCTCATGCTTCCGAGAATTTTCATCTGCTAACAATAGAGCACAGAAGAAATATCCTATTTTATTTCAAGGCATTTTGAAACCTGGAACCCGTAGGCGAATACTTACATGTTCAGAATTTCTCTCAGCTTCCCAGACACCAGTTTATCAAAATTCTCTCCTGCACTTGTAAACTGTGGCACATCATTTTCTTTTTCTCTGCTGTAGATTCCTAAAACAAGTCCCTGAAAATAAGCAGGGGGAGGGGGGGATTTAATCTGGGTCCCCAAATTCCAGAAGGAGCAAATAATTCCATGCAAACTGTGTCCCCATCAGAGAGAACAAAACCAAAAAAGCAGGTGCTGGGAGTCAGCTACACTCACATGCTGCCTACATGTTTCCAATTCCTGCCAAGCAAGACGGGAATTACTACGTATCCTGGGGCTCATGGTCCTTTCCCAAGGGTTCTCACAACATAAAGGCCTTCCTTCACGGTCAAATAAGAGCAGAAAGGTGTTTTGTTTAAAAAAAACAATTCCATCTGCAACCAGGTCAGAGGGGTTCAGAACACGCCGCTCCACAATATGCCGAACTTGTCATATTACTTTGAGCTGCAGGTACCAGTACTCGGGAGACAGACATAGGAAGGGCTCTCTGACCTCCCACTTTCTACCCAAAAGCAGGCCATGAAATTTCCCAGGAGAAAGGTGCTCTCCCTGTACTGGCAAGAGGACACAGTTATCGCCAGAGACTGGGACTCGACAGCAGAATGGACCTGTATAAACAAACCTACTAAAATTACCCTCCTCTTCCAATACTTCCCCCCACGTATTTCCTAGTCACGGTGTCACACTGTACTGCCCCTTTGTCTATCACTGCCCCACAATTTTTCGTTCTCTGTTTAAAAAGGTATATCCATTTCGGGGCCTAAAGGCTTTGGAGTCTTTATTTTCCTCCTGAAGACTCCCATATCCTTGAAAATACCAAACAGAACTTATATGCTTTTCTCCTGTTCATCTGATGTCTGTTAAATTCTTCGGTCCAGCCACAGGATCCAGGAGAGCAAAAGGAAGTTTTCCCTCCCCTACAACCTTCAAAGGCAAATCTCCAATAAGCTGGGGTGCTACCCCAGGACAGCCAATGGCTGCACCTGCCAATACTAAGAAGAACTCTGGCCCAGCTCATAGACTGAAAGAGAGAAAAGATGCAACTTCTCAGAGAGGGGCAGGAGCAGAGCATCCGAGCGACTCGCCCCCTCGGGCCTCAGGTAAGTGAAATAAGGACGTAAACACAGAAATCGCTATCTGACTTTGCCCTCAAGTTATGACTTTACACATGTTTTCTGCCTGGAGGCAACTCTGAGCGATGGAAAGAATGTGCAGTCTTCTCACCTGACAGAGGAGGAAACCCAAACCTGGTCTGACATACTAGCCTGGGTGCAACTGAGCTCTGCGAGAACCCTGACACCTTCCTCTCCGCCTCCCTCCTCTACAAAATCACACTGGCACTCAGACCAAGTGGTGTCCTTTCATCCAAGAAAGGTGTTGGTGTTCGTGTTGGTGTTGGTAACCTTTGCAGGTTCTAGCTTTCCTAGGGCGGCTGTTCCTGGGATCCCATGGAACCAAGTGGGGAACTGGAGACGGGACAGGGGTGTTACCTGGGGAGGACGTGGTCGCGGGGTACCGGAAAGAGCATGGACAGGCGTCTGGTCCCCCCGCCATCTGACACAACCTGAGGCCCGAGCTCAAGCCCTTTCTAGAACATTCCTCGCCAGGGACAGTCGCTTATTTCTGGACTCCCAACCTTGTGCACCTCCTCCACAGCCCAACAGTGATCTTCGTAATCGTTTCGAGTTCAATTGGGTGGAGAAGGCGTTTCTTCCCGGAGACGCTCTCCTTTTAATCTCACGCAGAGATGGGTCTCTCTGCAAAGCCCTTTCCCCAGAGGCATTGTGTCCCCGTAGAAAACCCCTCCGGCAGCTTACCCACGTTTTCCCGGCCGAATTCAGCAGGAGGACCGGGTCGGGTGGTGAGCCCTACTGACCAACTCTGGGACCTTAGATGACCTTTCGCCTCAGCAAACCTGGCTCCCTCCTAGCTAACGGGGGGACAACACCGGCACCGTGCTTTCCGGGGTTACTGCGAGGACTACCCAAATAATGAAGTAAGGGCATGACACGGTGGGAGCCCAGGAAATGGCAGCTGGGGCCATGCTCGCGCGTCCGGAGTGCGGACCCCAGCACCCAAGCCCGGCTGGAGATGCGCGGGGTGCTCGCAGCCCCCACCCCGGCCGTGCCCAGACTGAGCTCTGCCAAGGGAGGGACCTCTTCTTTTGTGCCCATTTTGGCAACTCGGTGCAGAAGCCGGGTTCACCGCGACCTCGACCCATCCCGCAGCCCCCGTCGCCCGCGGGCAGGGCATCCTGGGGCGGCCCCGCACCCCGCCGCCGCCTCTCACCTTCGTCATGTCTGCGGTGCCGAAACCTCGGCTCCAGAAACGGTTCACCCCCAGACGTCGGATGGCGACTCGCCCCACGGCCGGAAGAGGCAGCAAGAACATCTTCTCGGCTCGGCCCCCAGCACCGCCCTTCAGCGAGCACGTGGCGAATGGAGGGCGGGCGCGCGGCTGGGGGCGGAGCTTTCGGGGCGGCGGACGCGCGCCCCAGGGGGCGGGCGGGCGCCAGGGTCAGAGCAGGAGGGCAGTGAGGGGCGGGGCTTTCGGGGCGGCGGGCGCGCGCTCAGGGGGCGGGGCTGGAGGGCGTTTAGGGGCGGGACTTTCTAATGAGGGCCGGGGGGGCGCGCCTTAGGGGCGGGGCGGGCACATGGGGGCGGGGCGAGCGGTTCTGCCCCGAAAGCCTGGGTGGTCCGGGGAGATGGGCGCGAGGCTGTGGCTGGGATCAGGTTGCCATCGTGCACGTGCCGTGGGGATCGGAAAGGCGGGGCTCTCCTCCCAGCGCCCTAGAGAGGGTGGGGTCTAGGCTCTGACGTAACGAGGCGCGGGGATGGAGGCGGGGCTCTGGGGAACACCGGGAAATAGGAAATGCACGTGGCTGTACAGCAGAAGTCTTATTGTAGGAATGAGGCTCCTACAGAGTTGTTTTTTTAGTTCCTGCCCTTTTATTTGTTTTCTTCAGTTTTTTTGGAACTTACATCCGGTCCAAAGGTGTAACTTTGTAGGGCAGTTACCCCAAATACTCTTTTGAAGACAGGAGCTTTGTGAATAGTGCTCAATGTTTTAATACATTTTATTTTTTTAAAGGTGTTTAAAATATTGTGTGGTAAAAAAGTGCACGGCTGAATGCAATTCAGAGAACATGAGAAGCTCGAGAAGGCATACGAAAGCCATCCTACATGTTACACCTGATCCTAGTTTTAACTGAGTCTTTGACTTTAGCTCAGGGCGGGCGGGTAGGCGGGTACAGAACCCAAGTGCGCAGTTTCTGCCTTGGTCTGAGTCTCAGAAAGGAGAGACTGTCTAGAAGAGGGCTGGCCCAGCAGAGATTTGACTGTCCTTTCTTGAGAGTCAGGAATGTTAGTCCTCTTTGGCTTCCACCTCCTTTAGATAGTTAAAGAAGAGCTGCATCATAAACTCAGCAAACTCTCCAGAAGGCACGTATGTTCTCTTTAAACAGAGAGAAATCTTTGTAATCACTTTAGAAGTCTAGTTTCAATGAGATCAAGCTGCAGTTTCCACAACCAAAAATTAAGGGCTAAAACCTGTCTCCCAACCTTGTCTGTCAACTTCAGAGGCGACCATGGTGCAGAGTTGTCACTATCTCCACTCAACTGAGTGTGTTCCCTTCATTTTACTTGTCTGCTGCTCCCACAAGGAATAACTTGCTTCCTGGCATACCTTCATTTGCTTCAAGGACCACAGCATGTGCATTTTCATGTGCCTAATGGGATATGGGAGAAAGAAATTCCACAGCCTCCAAAAAAATTTTGTCCTTACTGAACAGTATTATATTGACCACTTTGGGATGTAAAAGTTAGTCATCCATCAAACTCTAAGTACAAAGTATTTACTGTATTTTTCTGTTGGAAACTGTGGGATACAACAGAATTTGTGTCCCTGGTCTCAAAGACTTTATGATCTAGTAGAGACAAGAAGAGGATGACTATATATATAAAAGCCTAAGCGACCGAACGACCGGTCAACTAGTCTCTATGATGCGCACTGACCACCAGGGGGCAGCGCGCTCCCACAGCAGTAGCGCCACTCAGCTGACCAACACATGCCAGACGCAGGGCTCACAGCTGGCCGCCACAGCTTGGAGACCGCAGTGGAGCGGCAGCGAGCCTACCGAGCAGCGGCCATGGCAGGCACAGCTGGGCCGGGACGAGCAGGAGCGGCAGGCGGTGTTGGACTGTGGTTTTCGGCCCGATCCCCACAGGCTATGCCGAGGGATCCCAACGGTGCAGGAATCTGTGTACCGGGCCTCTGGTAAAGAGATAAAAATCGACAGTGTTCATACAGTTACCTATGTGTATGCTCCAGTTCTTTCTGCCCCCTTCTCTGCTTGACCAAGATTTTGGTCTATGCCATGTCCTCCAGGAAACCTTCACTGATATTCCATATGTGCCCTTCCTTTGCCCCCAGAGCAGCCTGTCTTAAAGTGCTAATCACCTGTGTGCCCATTGTTTGTTACCCTGAGGCCTCTTAGGAGCCCTGACTTTCATCTCTAAATCTAGAATCTAGACTGTGGCTGGCACACACACACACACACACACACACACAAGGTGTTCATAAAATGTTTGAATAAATGCATGATCAAGGTCTAATAGATGTGACATTGACAATTAAAGAACAGGATAGGTCCCACTTGTGTCCTTCAGGTAATAAATGCAAAATATTAAAAAGCATGAAGTGAGCCAGTAGCATGAAAAGAAAGCAGATGATTAAGGAGGACATGAGGATATGGAGGGGTGTGTGAAGGTGTTGGCTTGGCTTGGGGTGAAGGGGTCAGGCCTGGAATAAAAGGTGGTCATAAAAGATAGTGATGCTGGATTAAGGAAGATTTTGAAAGGCTAACAGAGGCTGCTGTTGTCAGCAGAAGCCAACCGTGGCTGATTCAGCAGAAGGGTGTAATAAAAGGGAGGCATGAGGGCCAGAGAAAAGAGCTTCCAGAAACAATGCCCTAGTCCTGCCCATGACTGATCTGATGAGCAAACTGCTCCTCTGCCCATGTCACAGAGTAGCAGGGAATTACACAGGCAGGTTACACCACCGTCGATCTCCTGGTTTTGATATTGTGCTGTAGTTATGTATTTGTAGGAAAACCAAGTGACGAGCAAACAGAACCTCGCTGTACTTTCTTTCCAATTTTCTGTGAAGCAATACTTTTTTTAAAGTAAAAAGCTAAGAAAAAAAGGAAAAATAGCAAACAAACAAAAACATCTCAACTTCCCTGGCACCCACAGTCCCCTCCAGGAACCGCCTCTCTCTCTGCTTCTTTACAGCCAAACTTATTTGAAGCATTTTCTCTAGCTTATGTTCTCCATATCTACCTTTTCCTGCATCATTATTCCATTCATGAATCTGAAACGGGGTAGTAACAGCAGGAAAGGAAAGGAGAGGGTGCAGAGACACAATGTGCGATTTCGAAGACCTTGGATGGGCAGGTCCTGGTGACATAAGAAGAGCAAGAGGAGTTTGAACCAAGATCATGGAAGAAAATGGCGGCAGCTCTTCTTCATTTTGCTCAAAAGAAATGAGCAGCCCTCAGTCCACCAACCTTTCCTGAAAGGTCTCTCGGGGATATCAGGATAAACCATTTTCATCAGCTGAAAATTTTAGTGCATTAATTTACTCATCAAATATTTGTAGGTGCCCATTATGTTATAGGCACTGTTCTAGGTTCTGGGGACACACGAGTGGACAGAATCTCTTCCCTCATATAACTTACTTTTGAAGGAGGATGGGATGACAGACAGTAAAGTAAGTCAATTAAATAGATAGTATGCAATGGTGATGAGTGCTGTGAAGAAAAATAAAGTAGGAAATAGGGAAAGGGCTTGAGTGGAAACAAAAGTGATTTAAATGGAGTGTCAAGTAAGGCCTCACTGAAAGGTAACATTTGAGCAAAGACCTGAAGGAAGCAAAGGGGTGAGTTTGACAGAAATCTGGGAGCATCACTTCTGGCAGAGCAAACAGCAAGCACACAGGCCCTGTGGCAGGAGCCTTCCTGGCTTTTTAAAGACACAACAAGGAGGCAAGTGTGAAAGGAGCAGAGAATTGTAGGACAGGAAATGACTGGTTGGAAGTGAAGAGACCAGATCCCTTCTCAGACACTGTAAATCAGAAAAGCAGAGGAGTGACATGAGTAACCTCCATTTTTACAAGATTTGGTGAATTTGGTGAAGATGGAAAAGACCTTTGAAATTGCTCTTGCCAAAGTAAGTAATCTCCACTCCACAGGACTCTTCTCAGTCCTTATTCTTGCTCACTTGCTTTTCAACAGCATTTTAGCTTGTTGACCACTCTTGTCCTCTAACAAGTATCTTTATCTCCTACCTCCGAGGCCACACCTTTCCAGTCTCTTTTCCTCTGTCTGGTAGGCCTTCGTCAAGATTAGGTATGTGGTGCTCATATCATCCAATAGCCCTCATATCATCCAAGCATAAAAACCCTACTTGCCAATCTTATCATCCCCCTAATTCCATTCCAGCTATATGCTTTTGCTTGCAAAATTGGTATCATTAGCCAGGATGACTCACCCAAGCTCCAGACCCATACATCCAGCTGCCTAGTGCCCATTTCCACTTGGGTGTTTCAAAGTCCTTCAAACTCAACTCGTGTACAATGGAACCGTTTTTGCTCTGCTGCCTCTTTCCTTAATCCCCACCAGGGCTGTTTCTGCTTCTGTGTCCTCCATCTCAGTTAAAAGCAGGACATCTGCCCTGGACAATATGGCTCAGTTGGTTGGGGTGTCCTCCATACACCAAAGGGTTGCAGGTTCAATTCCCAGTCAGGGCACATACCCAGGTGTCGGTTTACCTGGTCATGGTGCATGCAGGAGGCAACTGATCAATGTTTCTCTCTCACATCAATGTTTTTCTCTCTCCCTCTCTATTCCCTCTCTCTAAAATCAATTTAAAAAAAACACACAAATAGCCCTCGCTGGTTTGGCTCAGTGAATAGTGTCGGCCTATGGACTGAAGAGTCCCAGGTTCGTTTCTGGTCAAGGGCACATGCCCGGGTTGTGGGTTCAGTCCACAATAGGGGTTGTGCAGGAGGCAACTGGTCAATGATTCTCTATCATCATTGATGTTTCGATCTCTCTCTCCCTTCTCTCTTCCTCTCTGAAATCAATAAAAATATATTAAACAAACAAACATAAAAATTTTTTTTAAAGCAGGACATTCACTTTGTTGCTCAAGCTAGATATTTAGGCGTCACCTTTATTTTTATTTTTTTTAAATATATTTTATTGATTTTTTACAGAGAGGAAGGGAGAGGGGATAGAGTGTTAGAAACATCGATGAGAGAGAAATATCGATCAGCTGCCTCTTGCACACCTCCTATGGGGATGTGCCCGCAACCAAGGTACATGCCCTTGGCCGGAATCGAACCTGGGACCTTTCAGTCCACAGGCCGACGCTCTAT